ATGCACTTAAAATAAGACAATACAATTGTGTTTTCTTATTTTAAGTGTAAATTGTCTTGGTCTATTGGCAAAATGTCTCTTTTACCTCCTCAATCTAACAAAAAATGCACTTATTTTAAGAAAAAATAACTTTTCTAGATTTTGATTTTTTCCTGTGTATGAGTAAAGATTAAATCTATATTTTTATATGCAGCTTTCAGATCCTCACTTTTAACATTTATTTGTTAAATAATATGTATCATGATTACCTTATTTCTTGTTCCATAAATTATTTCAGCGTTTATATTTTATTTAGAGGATAGCTTTTTACAGGTGAGGTTGAGGTTCATGGGTAGTGCAGGTGCAGCAGATGGAAGCAGTGTTAAGGGATTACGGTAACTCCTTTAGCAGCCTGCAGTTACTGAGATTATTGTGCTCCGTCCTCCATGAAGGGAGGAGAGCTAAGGGAGAGGAGATCTGTGCAGCTCCCTGCTCCTCCATCCAGCCCCGAGTCACATGTTCTCTATGCTGCTGCTGCAGCAGCTGACTGGATACCTGCCTCGACATTGTGGACAGCACGGCCCCTTCTGTGGGAAGTGTTATTGATGCAACTCTAAGGGAAACTCGGCTTTGGTGTCACATCATTTTGCCATGCTGATTACATTGTGGTATTTATACCTTGCAGCTCGGAGCGTCGCTGAACAAAGCAAGTATTGCTGCTTTTTGTGTCTGACTGCATGTCATTTCAAGGTGAATCATGAGTGGGACAGAGCTCGGGAAGTGTGTTTTCTGCTATTGGATTATTGGTTTTACATGTAAAAAAAAGGGGATGATGAAGACATAAATGAAAGGTTTATGTCTTGCTCAGTGGCAGACTGCAGTTTATTCTAAGGTTGAACTTGCAATGCAGCATGTAATGTACGATGCATCTTATTTGACTGAAATTAATTCATTCTATGAACACATTTCAGCACTAAAAATGGCTTCAGTCCTGGAAAAGCTGATCACCCCACTGATCAGCGGTCCTCCTGAGCCCCCCAGAAATAAAGTGACAGTAGTGGGTGTGGGTCAGGTTGGCATGGCCTGTGCTGTCAGTATTCTTCTCAGGGTAAGATTTCCAGTATTTACACCTCTTTACACGAGATACCTACTTACTCCTGTCACAGTATGGGTTAATTCCCTGGATCCTCCTGGATTGACAACAGATTACTGATGTCTTGGCCTCTGATCTTCTCTATTCCTTATTGTCATGAAGGAGGTTCTTACATGCAGAGGCGTAGCCAGAAAATCCTGTAAGGGGTGGCCAGTCAATAACCAATGTACATTGAGGGGTGGCCGAAAGGCACCAGAACCTCAGGGTCAATCTACAATCTTTCAACAGGAACAAGCACAACATCAATATTTTTAAAATAAAGACAAACCATACTTTCCTGCAGCCTTTGCTAACAAATAGACAGGTATATTCAAACATCTATTATGTGTAAATAAAAGGTATAGTGGACAAAATTCTTTCAAGTTTGAGTTCTGGGGCGAACATATTTTACATTAACAACAATCATTCTGCAAGTAAAAGATATTTAAATCTACTAACATCCACATTTAATGAATTTTTAAGTTATTATTAAAGTAGTTATTTATATATGATTTTACTGAATACTCTGAAAATTTGCAGAGGCACATCATTTTATGTTTACCCCAAATAATTCAAAATTTAGTTCTGAAAAGGGCATGGATTCTGTATCTATCATCTTTAATGTTTGTATATTGATGTGCATAATTAATCACAGTGTTTCTGTTTTGAAGTAGTTATTAATATTTATGTAAAATTTAAAAGTTTATTAAGTTTGAACATTCCCCTTCAGAGTATTGCTGCTGCCACCGTCTATATTAGAAGGAAAAAATGGTTGGGGTGGCCACAGGGGTGGCCATGATTGGCTAAGGGTGGCCATGGCCACCCCTGGCCCCCCATCTAGCTCCGCCCCTGCTTACATGTACTTCCTACTGAACAATGTCAACATATAATAGGGCAGCTACTAAAGTGACCCGAAAAAAGAAATGTTTAAATAAAGTCCATCCCTCATTGGATCATATATATTTTGAAAACTAAGACTGAGCAAAGTTTGTCTAAAACATCTAGGTGATAGGAAGTAGCGATGCCTAAAATCATAGATTTCTTTACATACCAATGTTACTGAATTTTGTCACACTGCAACCACAAGCTTAAAGGTATAGTGGAGGATTTTCGTGAATTTTTTAAAAGACCCGCCCTCTCCAATTTAAAAAAAAATGCTTATGCACAACCTTGTACCTGTTCCAGAGAAGGTACGCCTATTAAACGTGTGCAAGAGCATGCACGAGCCCATTTCTCCTCGTGCACACTCTGATTAAAAGTTGCTGTTTGCATCACTCATGCAAGCTTACTTTCCAAAAGAAGATTTGCAATTTTTCCACTATGTCAGACTCGCCACCGATAAGTGAAAATGGGGATGAGCACGTAGGACCACCTTACGTAAACATATCACCAGAATTATTGACAATTAGGAGGACCACTTATTTTGATGATTCACCTGGAAAATGAAAATCCTGCACTGTACCTTTAAGTTATAACTGATTGAGATTTTCTGAGATTGTCAACTATAAATTGAGACATAATTGGAAAGCAGATGGAAAATAATGATGGATGCTAATAAAGTTTTTTAATACTTTCACAAATAAAACGAAAAGGTGTGGCCTTTCTTTGCAGTTACAGCTGTTGGGGGGCAATTATTTCACTAACTTTGTGAAAAGGCTTAGCAATGTTAAGATAAACTGGATGATTTGTCCCTGCGAATGTTCGATTCTCTCCTCTATAGCTCATTGTCATGCCAGAAGGTGGAATTGCTTCCTTTCTGAATTAATTTCCAGTCTATAAATAACATTTTTTTTCCCACGATTGCCCTGCATTCAACTGCATCCTTCCATCTCCTCCCTTCTTGTCCCATTTGCAATAAATAAATAATCCCTCAGTATGAAGCTATCCACCACAGTGTTTCATAGAATTCTCTCTGCATGTGGTGAGGGGGTAATTTTCTATCTATCTAGCACAAAAGTTTAAAGTGTGGTCTCACCTCATCATTCCCTCACATGCCTGCTGCATCACCACACGTCCTTGTGGAAAACTGTAAATGGGCCTTATTGCAGCTTTCTTTGAAACATTTCTTTTCGTCACAATTCTGTAAAATCCAGATTTGTGTGATGCATGATTAGCAGCCCTTTCCAATTGTTGGCTGTAATGCATTTCATCAAAAAGGCATCAGAGTCAAATGTGGTATATTGTATTTTGTGTTGGTCTGTTTCACGGTATCTCGATAAAAAACATTGGAGCTTGTGATGTGATCAAATGTACGTATATGGCACAAACGTTTGCAATGTGTTATTTATATTTTTTCAAAAGAACAAAATATTTGAAATTTGAAATAATTGGCTTAAACTGAGTTTAAGAAGCTGTTCTGTTGGTGTTTTGTTAACGTGAATTTCTTTGGTTTATCGTAGGAGCTGGCAGATGAGCTAGCCCTGGTAGACGTGGTGGAGGACAAGCTGAAAGGCGAGATGATGGATCTGCAGCACGGCAGTCTTTTCCTTAAAACCCCCAAAATAGTTGCAGATAAAGGTAGGTCTGTTTCTTTAAAACACTTAGGAGAGGAAACATTCACTGCTCAGCACTGCTTCTACCTTGTGTTACCGCCTTATTGTGAGATTTATTTGAAAAACCCGGTATACTTTCTTATCTTTTTATAGGTTTTAAATTATCAATAGCCTTTTTTACAACTCCCAATGTTTAATATGGAATATTCTGACTCAAAGTCCAATAAGAGGGTGACTTTTGAAATGTCAACCCTCAAAATATGGAGCAAAGAACGAGGGAAGTTCTATAAGTAATGCCCCTGACCCACTTCCAGTTGTTTGATCAAGCTCAAATTTTGCATGTGCAATTATTTATTTCTCTATAAATTAAGTGGTAAATTACAGCTCTGTAATAACTGTGGTTTCTGATTAACAGATTTTTGAACTGAAATCTGAAATGGAGCCTATTGAGTGTCGTGCAGTGATCCAGGTTTTCAATGGCATCATATAGCCTCATATGGCTTTATAAGGACTTGCAAGGCCATATGATGGGGTATCATCACCATAGGTTACTTTCATTTGATCAAAAGTCTCCCGTGGCGTGCGTCCTTTCACGTACAAAAACTGTATCCCAGTGCAACACTCAACAGGCTCCATTTCAGACTTGACTCAGTTCAAACACCTGTGTATTGGAAGCCACGATTAGTTCTAAACTGTCATTTGCAACTAAATGTAGAGAGATAAATATTTGCACATGGAAATGTTCAGCTAGATCAAAAAACTTAAAGTGTAGCAAGGGCATTACTTATTGAATGCCCCTTGTATAAGTCTAAAACAGGTATAAAACAATATGTGCTTTTTGGCAGGAAGATGTCGGTTGGTTTCAAACTGGATTACGGAGATCCCCAGGGATGTGTGCTCAGTCCTTTGCTCTTTACTTTGCGTACCCAAACTATGCAGTCAAATTTAGCTAAATCCAACATATTAAAGTGTAACTCATCCTAAAATCCACTTTTTTGCATTTAAACTGCATTATTCTTTTGTTCCTTTTTCATGTAAGATTTTTTTTAGATCTCTAATAACTGTGGAGGTGTAGCAGTGATAGGGTGAAAGTGTTTGTGTCATGTTGCTAAAACTGAAGACCTCATTATTAAGTTTAGAAACATGATATGATCTATTTCTTGATGCAAATATAGATTAATGACTTCCCTTTTTTTCTTTTTTTAGACTACTCAGTTACAGCCAACTCCCGTGTTGTTGTAGTCACAGCCGGAGTCCGTCAGCAGGAGGGGGAGAGCAGGCTGAACCTTGTACAGAGAAACGTCAACATATTCAAGCACATCATCCCTCAGATAGTGCGATACAGTCCCGACTGTATCATCATTGTTGTTTCCAACCCAGGCATGTCTACCACTCCTTTATGATAAACACTTCATTTTCTCCTCTGTATACAAACATTATGTTTATTTCATATGATGCAAAAACATTTTCAACAGTTGATGTTCTGACCTATGTGACCTGGAAACTGAGTGGCCTTCCTAAGCACCGCGTCATTGGCAGCGGCACCAACTTGGACTCAGCCCGCTTCCGCTACCTGATGGCCGACAAACTTGGGATCCACTCGAGTAGCTTCAATGGGTGGATTCTGGGAGAACATGGAGACACAAGTGGTGAGGAGTTGGTTTGCTTGTTTTCTTGTTTCCATTTAGACACATTGAGCTCATTCCCTTAAATCAACCGTATCATGTTTATGTTAGTGCCTGTATGGAGCGGAACGAATGTGGCAGGAGTCAACCTGCAGGTGTTAAACCCTAACATTGGCACAGACTTTGATGAAGAGAACTGGAAAGAAACTCACAAAATGGTGGTCGACAGGTAAGCTTGACGTCAACTTACAAGTCAATTTGTGCTGTTTCATATTTAGTCCTTCTGTAATAAGTTTTTTCATTGAAATGTTCCAAATAGCCTATATTTATCTCATGATCTACACAGGAGAGAGAGGGAACCGATGTACTGATTTATAGTACTTGTTCACCAGTTGCTGGTAAACCAGTTAAGCTGGATTCTGATCTGATCAAAGCATGTTTCAGTTAACTTGTCTTAACACATTTTTGGTGATAGGACAGAAGATATTTTTTTCCCTCTATGCATTTCTTCCCTCATAAACAGCAGGAGATTTGTTGATCTCTGAAAGTGCCCCTTTAAGCTTGGAAATCAACAATAATTATTGTTCTTGCAAAAATACAGTTTTAGGCCATTTTTTTTTTACTGGTGCCATTTCCTGCATAAGCCAGTCTTATATAAAGACTCAGCTGATTTATTTCAGCGATACTTAAATATTCTCCTGTCTTTACATTTATAAGAATGGCGTAGACAAATATACCTCTGTATTTTCACATTTATACTCGAATGAAACAAAAAGCTGATTACTATGTTAATGTTCATAAACACTTTGCAATATCTATATACATCAGTCATTTTAAAAGAGAATAAAACAATAATTTTTAATGTTAAATTTTCTAAAAGTGAAAATTTACTTTATTCAGTTTGTTACTGTTAAATTGACGAATGCTATTTTTTGCCCAATGTGCAAAAAACATCAGTGTAGAAGTTTTCCTCATAAGAGGAAAATTTACAACTTTGTTATAAATAAAAAAAGATATTTTTTAGCTTTTTTGTATCTAAGCGAGTCTCAAAAGCCTTAATATCACTACCCATAGCTTTTATTCTGCACACTTACTAGCATGTTATTTATAAACAGAGATTAATTTGATTTACTTTGATAGTGCCTAGAAAAACAGTATTTTTTTTCTAACATTGGGTTCAAAATCATTAAAAAAAATTAAGTCCACATATTTTTTTTGCATAGCTTTGTTTTTGTCTGTAACATTGTTTAATTCTGTGTCTCTAAGCGCATATGAGGTGATCAAACTGAAGGGTTACACCAACTGGGCCATCGGTCTGAGTGTGGCCGACTTAACTGAGAGCCTGATGAAGAACATGAACAGAATCCATCCTGTCTCCACCATGGTGAAGGTAAGGGATTAATGCTCTCTGTCTTTGAATCTAATAATCATGCATAAATGATTTGCAGACTAATCAAAGGTTTTCCATTTGGAATGATAATTTCCTAAAGCACTTTCAGTTTAAGATGAGGTGTAACATCTAGATTTTTATGTGAAATGATGCCAGAGGTAGCTAGCTCTTTTTACACCCTTTCTAAAATCTTAGTACTCTTTACCAGACAATCAAAGTATCCTTTTAATCTTTTGAAATTATCTCAAATCCTGATCGTTTTATATAACTTGAGGCAAATACCAACCAGCTGAGCTGATGCTCTCAGTTTTTAATTTTAGCAGTTTATTATTTTACCAGGGTATGAAGTTAGCATCACTGCTTCTTATAAATGTGGATATTTGGCCAGTTTTTGAAAAAATTAAACTGACTTCCTGGATTTAATGTTGCAGTTAAAGTTGTTGCTAATATTTTTGACTTTTATGTGAATTTACAGATTTATATATACACACACACACACACATATATATATATATATATATATATATATATATATATATATATATATATATATATATATATATATATACATACTGTATCCAATTATTCAGATGTTTAATTTAACTTTTTACTTGTTTTATTAATTAAGTATTATTGTTTTTTTTTTTTTTATAATCTACCCACTTTATAAAGTTTGGTTTTCTTGGATTTGATTACCTCCACGAAGGTAATCTGGTTCCTAAAGCAGCATCACTATATAAAAAAGATAAAACTTATATTTAATTGCATTACTTTTCCCATTTTTTTTTACATTTTATGATAAAAAATATNTATATATACTGTACCCAATTATTCAGACGTTTAATTTAACTTTTTACTTGTTTTATTAATTAAGTATTATTGTTTTTTTTTTTATAATCTACCCACTATAATCTGGTTCCTAACGCAGCATCACTATATAAAAAAAGATAAAACTTATATTTAATTGCATTACTTTTCCCATTTTTTTTACATTTTATGATAAACATATGAATATATCCTATCTCCAGCTAAGTGCATTACATATTCAATGTATTATTATTATTATTATTATTATTATTATTATTATTATTATTATTATTATTATTATTATTAATCTTTGAGTGAGCTGCTTTGATGCTGCTACTCCAACAGATGATGGAAAAGTAGATCACACTCTCCACAACAGACTTACATCTTGCTACAAACAAAACCCATAAATTAAACTTGTTTATTTCCTAATTTTGTTTATTACAAAAAAAAAAAAAAAAACACATGTTGTAGTTTGAAAAAAGAAAAATGTTTTTAGGGCTAAACAGATATCAAAAGCTTTTTTGTGGCTTTGTCATTTGAAAATTGGTTTTATATCTTTCCATCTTTTGACGCCTGACACCGAACACTTTAAAAAGGCTCTAAATAACCAATTAACTGATTTTCTCATTTAAAACATCTTTATAACATGATAGAACCAGGAATTACAGTGACTTGCCTCTCAACGTGATTTTTCTCCCTGCATCAACAGGACATGTATGGGATCAGTGAAGAAGTATACCTGAGTCTGCCCTGCGTGTTAAACAGTGGCGGCATCTCCAGTGTCGTAAACATGACCCTGACAGATGAAGAGGTTGCCCAACTGCAGGCCAGTGCCAACACTCTGTGGGACATCCAGAGGGACCTGCGGGACATCTAACAGACCACGAGGGGGCGACATAACATCAGACCTTCACTCTGCAGTCACAAAAAGCCATTCAGTGTATCTGCACCTCTCTCACTGCTTTCTGTAGAATTTGGTCAAATTTAGCATTAGATGTCACTTTGAACATTTATTTTTGTTGGAGAGGGGATAGAATGGTTTTAAATTAACAAAGTGATATGTTTTAATGCGTCGAGGTGCAATGGAGAACTTTTGCTTTGATGCAAAATAAAGTTTTGCTGTAATGCAGTTTCATGTATTCACTGGCACACATTAAACATACATTATTATTGTAGCGCTGCAGAGACACATGATTCAATCTAAATGTGAATAGCATCACCCTGACCCATGCGTGACTCCTTCAAGGACGTCAGCGTTGACAGTGTGATGATGTTTAGATTGATGCTACTGATAATCACTTAGTGTTTTAAGAAGGGACCGGTGTAATTGCTGCCTGGAGCTTTTTTCGTATTAATGAAGAGATTCCGACACATTTCAAAGACAAAATTCAAGGTGTCGCAAGACTTTTCTAGATTAAACTTTTCAGTTTCTAGCCCTTTATTTTAACACACATAATGCAAACATTTATTATGATTTATGGAGGCTGTGTCTGAAGTGCAGAGGCCCTAAAGGAAGGAATACAAAGAGACAAAGAGTCCAAAGAAAGAAGGAAAAGCAATAAGGATCCTGGGGGGAAAGAGGAAATGAGGATACAAGGAAGGATAGAAGAAAGTAGAGCTTAAGGAAGTTGAGCATTAATTGGGTGCAGAAGGAATAAATACTCAAAGAAAAGAGGTAAGGAAAAACAGAGGTGAAGAAATACACTTGAAAAGAAGGAATTTTAAATGAAAATAAGAAAAAAGAGAAAGACAAACTGATACAGTGAGTAGACTAATTCCAATAGGACAAATTGGTAAAGACACTTAAAGTGGAACTGCATCAACAATCGCCTTGATAAGTGCTGTCCAAGTAGTGCTGGCACTAAGGAGGTAAAGAGAGGAAGCAGGATGCTTCCTATCTTTAGTTCACTTAGCATAGGAACCTCCTGACCTTCCTATCTGCCCCATAGGAGCTATACAGTTGCCCACAATCCTTAGCCTTCATTTGTACTCTGTCTGACACATGTTGATGTTTGTGGTTTAATAATGGAGAGCTTTGTTTTTTGTTTTGGTTTTCTGGAAGAGTGCGGTCCCAGAATTGACAAGCATCATCCATGTGCTTTTCTGTTGTCTATTAACACCAGAAAGAGCTGTCCGGATTTAAACCAGCAGCCTGGAGCTCTTCGTCTACCCTGGATAGGGTTCTTTCTGTTAACCCCAAATCGGTTACCATCGGTTACCATTTGCATGTTTCCAAGCAATACAAGGCCTTGTCTATATAAGACTCAAACTCACTGCGGATCCAGGCATTTGAATTGAGAAAGCTTCCTGGAGAGCTGGCGAAATGTCTTCAAATCTTGGAAACCAAGTCCTGTGGATATTTTTTGAACTTTTACGGAACCCCACAAAAGGTGAAGGGAACGGAGCTAGGAGCTACAATTTGCACAATTCAGAAACAGCCACAGACTGACTGCCATGGATTGAAGTGGGAAGGATAGAAGTGTAGAAATGCATGCAGCTGGTAGCATCAACAACCAAAAAAAAGAGTAAGGGAAATAGCAAAAAAACTAAAAATAACATTTGAAAAGCCAAAAAACTTCAAAAATGCTAAAATTCTTTTCCCAGATTTATTCAGAACTACCAATAAACACATATAATATTAAGAGAATGCAGTCAATAATAATCAATGTACAGTTTAGAAATCCAGTTGCCAAACAATAAAGTTTATTTCTGAGTCGTTTTTATGCAGATGAACTATTATCACCAACATTTCAAGGTTAAAAGATCCAGACAACAACTGGATCATGAAAAAAAAGAAAATCACATATATTTTAAATTCCAGTCTTGGTAATAATCAGGTCTGCCTTCGCCTGAGGAGAAGGAAAAATGGTTTAAACTACTAAGAAGATTATGAGACATGAAAATGAGGTGCAAACGTTTACCTGCTTCTGCAGCTCTTTGCAAGAACTTTGATTGGACGACTGAAGCTGGAAACAAATCCGTTCCATCGCTGATCTCATTAAAGTTTACTAAAGAAATATAAAACAGAAACATTTGGAAAATGATCAAATGTGTAAATTACGAGCTGAACCATAGTTTCACAGGAGCCAGTCAAATGCAGCTGCTGGATCCCTTCTGGTCTTTCATGCATGAAATTTCTTAATAAATCTAAAAGCAGAATTGAAGAACATTTAAAAAAAACAACTTTTATTCATTATTTTAATTAGTAAATCATTGAATAAAGCAAAAAATAGCAAACCTAAGTGGTAAGCTCCCTCCTCTTCCCTGCTGCTGCGCTCCAGGGTCGAGCGGTGTCCCTCTGAGAAAGAGCGACATTTAACAGGTTGGGTTAGAATGGAAAACTATAACATTTTTGTATTTTTCTGCTACAAATGTCGGTCTTACGTGCTCCTTTTAGGTAGAGGATTGCCTGAGGAGTCCAGTTTCTTCTCTGTAAAAAAGAAAAACAGAAAAACATTTAGAGATTTTCTTTATGTTTAGTTCTAAACGAGAGATTTTGTTTTAAAAAAATCAGCCTGTGCTTACAGAAGGTGCAGAACAGCACTGAGCAATCAGTGACACCACAAGTAGAGTGACCTTTAGAGACATTGTTAGAGTCTGTAATGAAAAATGTCTCATTAAATTATTCTTTATATTTCTAGCAATAATTAACGTATCATTTTATATTGTTTTCTATATAATTTTCTCCTGAGTTTAGTCTCATTTTTCCTAACTGTTAAAAACAAAAATAACAAAAATAGTTAAAAAAAAAAAAAAACAGATCATATTACTAGGTAAAACATGTAAAAAAAAAAAAAAAAAGGGTAGTCTAAATAATATGCAATGATTACGTAAGACATTTAAGCAGCAAATGTAAATATTTTATTTAAAAAAGCTAAAATAAATATATAGAAGTCCATGTGTTTTCTGTTTACTTGAGGCCCATAGAATAAAAGACATAGTTTCCTTTTTTAGATCTAATTGTTGGAACTTAAACTACTCAGTTTAAGCTTCAAAATAATAATTATACATGTTAAATATTTTTTAAACTACAAACCAATTTACATACAAGGGTTTTAATAATAGCTAAAAATGAAATGTGCATCACTTTACAAAATACGCCTTCCAAAAATTGCATACAATATAAATTCATGCTCGGCTGTTATTACAAGTGAAGAAAGTTTAACTCGATGATTTCTTAATTCATGGTACATTAAATAAACTAAATATGAAAACAACAACAATAATAATAATAATAATGATAAAAGTTTCTTACTGTTCTGGATTTTTTATTCTGAAGGCTGCAGCTTGTATAAATGTTGCATCAGTGTTTCCTCCTGCTTTATAAAGCCACATATTAAGTAAACCAGCTTATTTTGTGACATCAGTGATGCGGCTGACAGGTACTGTAATTATCAAATGACGTCACGCCTAACACTATATCTGGGATGGAGTGAAAGGTGCTACTGAAGCTGTCCCTGCAAATTAGCCATAGGCCCTGGAGATGAGTTTGAACTTTGAGGGCTCTAATAACCGCAGGATCTTTGCAGGGTCACACCGCATAAAGACTGTTTTCTGAATGAGTCTAAGTGAGGTGTCAGATAGTGGGGGTGACAATATACCAGCAGGAGGATTAAAACTGGAAAACAGTGTTCTCCTTTTATTAAAGCAACACAAGGATTACAGGATTTCTACATACTACAGAATTTCTTATAAACTGAGAGGAAAATCCTCAAAAATCAATTGAGATCTGTAGCAGATGAAGAGGTACCTTGCTGTGGGCGTGTTACCAGCCGCCTTTTACAGTTGCTTTTTGTATCTTCTGTCTCCTTGAACCCCAGTGGGCCTCAGCAGATGGTCGCTCACACTGAGCCTGGTTCTGCTGGAGGTTTCTTCCTGTTAAAGCAGAGTTTTTCCTCTCCACTGTCCCTACAAGCATGCTTAGTGTGAGGGATTGCCTTTGAGTCAATGAGTCGATGCAATCAGTTGGTTTTCCTTAGATAGAAATCTTTGAATAAATTTGACTGGATGATCTGGTTGAATTGTAAAGTGCCTTGAGATGACACGTGTTGTGAATTGGTGCTATAGAAATAAACTGAATTTAGATTAATTCTATATTAACTGTATTAAATGGGTTTTCACCATTTTCCATTTATCCTCACAGCTATGCAAACTGCTTTAATTGCAACTTATTAAACCAATGGGATTCACTAAAATCTCTGCTGGGTGACCGAGCTTAATACGATAAACACGCATTTGTTTAATGCTAGTGAGTTAAAAAGATATATTGAAATTAGAATGAGTTTTAGTTTAAAGGTCACCTTACCGTTTTTTCTAAAGTTTACTTTGATAATAACATATCATACATGATGTTGTAATATATGTTACCATAACTGATAGTACAGGGTCTCTTGATGTTTAGGTCTTATCTCAG